GAGGCAGGAGACTCGCTTGAACCCAGGAGTTGGAGGTTGCTGTGAGCATGATGCCATGGCACTCTACCCAGGGGGACAGCTTGAGGCTCTGTCTCAAAAAAACAAAAAAACAAAAAAAACAAAAAGTAGTAATTGGTTAACCTCTGTTTGTAACTGCTATATCCAATGTTATGATGAGATGATAATTATAATTTAATTTTTTCACATGATATAAAATATGCAACATACCCCCCTTATAACTTTTGTAAATGGTATTTGCCAAGTAAATCACACTTTATTTAGTGAGATCTTCATCACATCTCGAGACTCCCTAATCATCAGTTATCATTGCCTGTCTAGCATAGTAGCAAAATGGATTTTATCAGCAAAATGAAGTTTTCAACATAATGTTTCTTTTAAATAGATCATAGTTATCAAGCAAAGATAGATTGATCAAAGAATGGCCCTTTTACTCTCTGATATATATAAAAATATACGGATATCAACAGCATTGCCATTACGCTGGCAGAGTGACCAGGTTAGAAGAACACTGAAGTGTTTACCCAAGCTAATCGTGAAGACAGAGACAGGAGATGCTGTTTAGCTCACAGACACAGTATTAGCGCCCTGTGCAAAATGGGTGTTTATTGTCTTCTCGACACAGATTGAAGGAGATGAGTAATTACAAGTTCTCACTGATACTGTGGTTAGAAAATGTTTCTAAAATTGTGAAGTCTATAAATGGCACAGGCTGTCCCTACCCTATTACCTGAAGACTTAGTTCTAAGAAATGACTCATGGTTATCATCTGCTAGGAGGGTGACAACTTCAATGGAGACATTAGTCTCTGTAAGACCTAAGTATATCCAGGATATTTTTTAAACAATAACAAAAAGGAGAAATTAAAGATAATTTCCTAAAGATAGTTTGGAGTAAACATTTAATATTCTGAACTGTTATGCCATGCAACTGTATTGACTACATACAGTTAAAACATTTTCCTTTTTTGGGGAAAAAAAAGTTTTTCTTTTTTATAAAAATTATAGCATAGACTTAGATTTTTTTTGAAATTGAAATTTGGGGGGCTATTAACCAATATATGAAAGTGTAAATTATATTTTGATATGGTTCTGAAATGTATTATTTACTACATTTCTGAGCATAGATATACATATTTGGTTATGTGTTGGTCCAAAAGAGAATTATTGGCAAAGCTATAATTTTATATTCTTATAATTTAAAATATGATTCCTTAAAATAAAAATCTTTTCATTAAAAAAGTGACAGTATTTCTGTCACAAAAAAAGATTGGGTTTAATAATTTTAGATTTTTTAAATATTATTTATAACACAAAAATATTATTTTTCAGGTCTTTATCTTTTTAACATATCTTTGGTATATTTTTTCTTAACATATTTTGTGCAAAGTATCAAATTCTAAAATTATTTGCTTTGATGCGGTAGAAATGCATTCATCTGCTATAATATTCTAAG